GACTTTCTGATACACACAGTTGCTCAGTCATAAACTCTAACTTTAAAGCTCTCTACACACTGTAACTACGTTGCTCTCATTTACTTCACCTTTTTCAGAGGCTATGATTACTTACAGATTACAGATTACTTAAGACACACAGAAAGGAAAGTGTGTTTTTTTAAGCTGTACCAGACCAGTTTTACTGTGAGGCCATAAATACAGATATTATAATTACATTTTGAAGATGATTGAATGGTTAGGAAAAAGTTCTTTTGATTGTCATTGGTGGTTGTGCAGTGCCATCTGCTGGCAGGGCTCTGATAGTACACGTGATTGCTTCCCCATATTAAAAGGCTGTGCTTTAGGATCATGTGTTAGGTCTTAACTGTAAAGGCAATATTGCAAAGATTCCAGGTCTTGTACTTTAATCCTGCTGTATTTATGTAAAATATGTAAAATATCCCATACTTCACTCTATAATACAGAGAAACAAAGCCTATAGAAAAAGATTGTCACTGTCCAAAGAAAAACATGTACCTCCTTTTTCTTTCTTTTCTACTTTTCTACATCATTTGAGTGTGGCAGCTGTCATTTACATTGGGTGAACGTTTCATGAAGCCTGGACCAATAGAAATACCCCAAAAATGCTTTAAATAAAATCTCTTCACATAAACTCACATTTAAAGTAAAGAGTGTTTTTGCCTTCTCCTGTGAAGTTACTATTTTGGAGATACTAATTTTTCTTTGGACAAAAACATGTAAATGTAAAGTAATTTCTTAAAATAAATAGCTCCAACTTATTCTAAATACCTGTATCTGTAAATGAATGTGCTTTGATGCCTGTTGAGAGCCAGAAAATGATACAGAACAATTCCTTTGTCTTTTAATGGCTTCAGTTTTCAAAAAAGAAATTCTTGGACAATACAGGAATAATACAAATACCTTTAAAACACTGATCTTATCACATTCACAGTGTTATAGAAATACAGAAAAGGAAAAACTGACCTTTTATATTGTTTACAGGGGAGTTTAACTGCATGTTTTGGTACCACTTTAGAACAAGACTAGCCTTATAAAGGGTTTACACATGGTTTAAAATGAGTTTATTAATGGTTATTAATTAGTTCATAAACACCTTAAAATTAATAATTAATAAGCAGTTGCAACACATGAATAAAAAAGGGCAACAGTGACCTGTTGTGTGCCTAAGTGTAAACCCACATTCATTTATACTGTTAAACCTCAGATTTTTCTGGTTATTTATCTTACTTTGTATTAGGATAAGATAAGAACTGAAGAAAGGACTGAAGAATAGAGGTAACAAGAAGAGAATTAACAGTCAAAGTCATTAACCATATTAATTACTTAATAATGTTACAATCTGCTAATTATTACTGTATATATATATATATATATATATATATATATATATATATATATATATATATATCCATCCATCCATCATCTAAACCGCTTATCCCACTGGGTCGCGGTGGGGTGCTGGAGCCTATCCCAGCTGTCATTGGGCGGAAGGCAGGATACACCCTGGACAGGTCGCCAGTCCATCGCAGGGCAGACAGACATACACATTCACACACACACTCACACCTAGGGGCAATTTAGCCTGTCCAATTGGCCTGACTGCATGTTTTTGGACTGTGGGAGGAAACCGGAGTACCCGGAGGAAACCCACGCAGACACGGGGAGAACAGGCAAACTCCACACGGAAATGACCCTGGCCGCCCGGCCGGGAATTGAACCCAGGCCCTTCTTGCTGTGAGGCAACTGCGCAACCCACTGCGCCACCATGCCGCCGTGTGTGTATGTGTGTGTGTATATATATATATATATATATATAATTAAAGATAACAAATATAAACTCTATCCTTCGCAAAACAGTTATAACTATTTATTGATGATATTAAGGTGTTAATTACCTAATTAATACCATCAATAAACTTTAAACCATTTATAAACCCTATATCATAGAATCATTTCATTCTCAAGAGGCTTTATCAGTATTTTTCATATTATTTTTCACAGTGTGTAATATTGTTTTTTTTAGATAAATCAGTGTGTAATAAATTAGGTTAGCTTAGCTTGAGTTGTCGTCTTACTGTAAGACGCTCCTTAACATGTGTTTGACCATCATAAAAACACATTGTTTAAAATCATAAATACATATTGTTTAAATACATAAACCATACATATTCAGTTCTGGTGAGACTTTGCATTTAGTCATTGTGATTTTTTATTTATTTGGAAAATCTATATATATGGAAAACTGTCTGTTTCTTTACGACGACTAAAAGATTATCTTGATCAATGTTCCAGACAACTGGAAGTGTTTTTTGCAGCTGTTAATGACCAATATAAGCAGTCCTTCAGTCTTCTATCTTACTAGTGTATATTTACATTCCTTCTTTATTTCTTCACATCAACATACAATGAAATTAGGAATGTTCTTTTGTTCTCTGATATGCAGTCATATGGTAAAGTCTGGGCACCCCTGGTCAAAGGACATGTTTTGTTGATTTTCCAAGGGGAAATAAGTTTACACAAAATTAAAAATGACATTTGACTGCAAAGTTTAGTGCATAATTTCCATTTATTTGCTGTGTTTAACATATTGGAGAAAATAAAATGTAAAATGCACCATAACCTTTGTGCAGGCCAGATTTTATGTTTTTTTTTTCATTAAATTCAGCAAGTAAACAGCAATGTGACAGTAATGCAGTAACACTGTGCATGAAAATGTGCAGAAGTGTGTTCTCTGTAGAGGGTGTGTTAACTTAATTTCACTTAGAAAATTAACAAAAACATGTCATTTGACCAGGAATGCACAAACTTTTGCATGCAACTGTAGTTACTGTCCAAAATGCAGAAAATGCAGCTTTATTCCTTTTTTAGAGCTGTGAAACTGGTGGATCTCCCTATATCATATATCATTTAGTGTTTTTTCTTTTCTTGAAGAATGTTCACAAATTGCAAGGAAACATGTGTATAGGACAGTTGTGATGTAACGTGCATACCCTTATCTCTATTTCCAGGCATGGACAGCTACAGCCATAATATGGTGTTTCCCTATGTTATTGCAGTTTTGAACTAGTTCTGAGTAAGAGATTTTAAAAGAAAGCTCCTTTGATGATTAATCATGGCCCCACAGTGCCATCTGCTGCTCACATTCTGATAATGCACTGGGCTTCTTTTACTTTTTCAAAGCCTGGTTGAGTAATGAAGTCTAAATGTTTTACAACTGGCAGCTGTGCTTGTATCTGTGTCATGTGATGATTGACAACTACTGCAGAGGCCACAAAGGGTCAGCGGGGGCCCAAGCTTTGGTTCCTACTACGCAATAACATACCTGGCTCAACTGATAATATGTTTTAATATTTGACCCCTTATTGTGTCTGAAACCGTCTGTAGGTCCTCCACCCTCTTTCATATACTCTTAAAAACGATGGTGTTTCAATGGTTCTTTAGTGAAGAAAATGAACCATGAACATTCAAAGAACCCTTTGCATGATTAAAGCGTTCTTTGCATAATGAAAGGGTTATTCAGACTGATGGAAAATTTGCTTGAATGTGCTATAGATGGTTCTATATAGAACCTTTTTAAAATGGGGTTCTGTATAGCACCCAAAAGGGTTCTTCTATTCTCACAAGCTTGACATAATAACAACAGAAGAACCCTTTTGGGTGCTATATAGAACCCTTTTCAAAAAGTTCTGTATAGAACCATCTATAGTGCATTTTCCTTCAGTCCAAAGTGCTTTCATGATGCAAAAAAAAAAAAACTGTAATCATGCAAAGGGTTCTTTGAGTGTTCATGGTTCTATATAGAACCATTTTCTGTATTTTCAAAAGGGTTCTGTATAGAGCCATCTACAGCACATTTTCCTTTAGTCTAAAAATGCTTTCATGATGCAAAAATTTTCTTTACTTAAAAAAATCCTTGAAGAACCATCTTCAGTGATTTATCGGCAGCTCTCCGAATAAAAGGTGAATTCCAGAGCTTCTCAAAAAGTGCTGCATAATTCATTTGTTGAGATGTAAACAGTCATTCAGAGTGGTTTGATGGGAAATGGTGTATAGTAGAGAACCCTGGTTATGAGTCAGCATGTCTACAACAAAAACATAGCCTTTTCTTTTACTGTCCAAAACCAACAGAGAAGCTATGTGAGTTTACTTAGGCATGTAATATTGAAAATGGTGGTAAATCTGAAAAATTAAGTTTTCTTTGGGCACAAGACCCTGCATGTAACTCTTCACCAGGAATGGAAAAAAATAAAACATTTTAGATCAACTTAAAAAATATCATAAAACAATGTCTCGGGCATCAGGCAGCATATTCACAACCATTTTGTGTAATATCTTTCTGTAAAAGCACCTTGGGCACTTCCGACGTCTGGTTCCTATCACCACCAGTGTGACCAATTCTGACTGGGTAAGTTTGTCTAGAACAAAGCATTTCGCATCAAACCACTCTGAGTGACCTTGGTGGAACTGCCCTTTAAAATATTCTTATGGTGCAGAAAGAATTTATGAAGACGACACTACACTTTTCAAAAATTAAATAGCAAAATCTTGAGCAGTGCTATTTTTAAGACCCACAAAAGTTGTTTAGGAAAATAATTCTTTTACAGCTGTTTGGCTGAAAAAAATCTTGTCTTAAAAATCCTGGAGGAAAACCATCCTAAGAAACTCATGTACAAAGTCAATTGAAGCAGAAAGACAGGACAGGACAATTTTTGCACAGGTTTGTTCCTTTGGCTTGCTCTCCAAATACCAACAATATTTTTGGTTTATCAGTTTAGCGATTGTGACCAAACTTGATTGTTCAGTTTAATATAGTATCTGTTACTCCATTAAAGTTAATATAGCTGGCACATATTCATATTCATATTCACAAAGCAAATACAGTTTTACCATTTTTATTTACAACTAGACATACTTTTTACGTTACTGGCCAAATCATGAGCTCATTTCATCAAAAGAAAAAAATATTTACAACTATGTCATTTAAGTTGAGTTAAATTATGTTTTCCATGTACTCCCACCTGTCTTTGCTTTAATTTCTTCATTAATGTGTCTTTAATTTCTTTGGTCCTGAAGCAGTATATGAATGGATTGATAAGGGCAGGGAATAAACTGTGCATCATAGTCAACATAATGCGGGTATCGGTTCCCAAATCAAGGCCAAAAGTGTTTGACAAATAGACAAACGTTCTGGGGAGATAGTACAGGCAGATGATAAACAGTTGAGGAGTGCACGTTGAAAAGGTTTTGTATCGGCTCTCCTTATTTGAGATTTTCATGACTGAAATAATGATCGATACATAAGAAAATATTATAAAAACTAAAGGACCCCATAGTACCAAGATAGCAACAACAAAACTAGTGTTTTTTATGGCTGTTATGTCTGCACAAGCCAGTTTGACTATTGAAAAGTGGTCACAGTAGCACTGGGATATGATGTTTGGGCCACAGTAAGTAACACTGAGGGCCTGAGCAGTAATCCCACCAAGCTGGATAAGGTTCGCGATCCAAACTGCAGAACAAAGAATTGCAATAGTGGAGTTCTTAATCAATGCTGGGTATCTGAGGGGGTTGCATATGGCAACAAATCGATCAAGGGCCATTAACGCCATAAGAAATGAGCTGGTAGCTCCTAAGAAATGGACAAAATACATTTGTGTGAAACAAGCATTAAATGATATGATCTTGTCTGACATCCAGTGCTTTGAAATGATTCTTGGAACAGTTACAGTTCCAAATCCAAGATCTGCTATGGCAAGATTACAGAAGATGATGTAAGTAGGCTTTTGAAGATTTTTCTGATAGGCCACAAACACAATGATGAAAATGTTCCCAGATGCCAAAATCAGGTAGATGAAGAAGAAAAAGGTTCCTAGCAGTCCGTAATATTCAGTAGGGAGTCCTGGGAAGCCTCGGAGGACAAATTCAGGGATGTTGGTCGTACTGTTTGTGAATATGACTTTTTCGGTACTGCTAGAAAACATCTGGAATAAAGCAAATAAACAAACAAACAAACAAATAAATAAATAAATTCTACATATGAACAAAAGTCTCAATTTTGTAGTTTAGGATTAATGTTGAATTTAGTAAAACCATTGATATTAATTGTTCATTGTATCCATTTACTAAATTCACCATCTGCATAAACAAATCTCTTAAAGATGTGAGAAGAAAACAGAAACATACTTTGCCTTGACCTGTGTTCGTACAATGCTGTTTTCAAATCCACAGGACAGAAGGTGTAGAACTGACTTGGCTGGAGTTTTTAAACCCTTACTGTTCAGACTCTGACGTCATGAATAACATGCACAGCTAAGAAAGGCCTTTGAGATTTCAAATGGCAAAAAATGCCCATCACTTGGTGTCCCCGCCTGCTGCCTCTCCTGCACTTGTTTCACAGCCAAACAAGCCACTGAAACCTTGGCTGCTGAGGACATGATAGTAAAGGTCACATGCTGTGGACACCGAATGTGTCACCGACATTCTGTATGTGGCCTGCAGCCACTCCATCATGAACAGCTGTACTTGAGTACGTCTCACTGCCCATCGCTACCTTGGTCTACCAGTCAGTCACCTTTACTTGGCCACTGATAATGCAGTAGAAGAGATAAAGGGGTGAGCAGCCACCACAGTAACATTCTGCTTGTGGCCTGGACCCTTTCTGGCCACCATGCCTGTGGCCAAATGTGTCTTCATGACTGTGAATGTGAACTTTCTCCTGACAGCAGCCACCCTGTTCTGCACCCAGGGACATCACTGCTGCCCCACTTTCGGCTGGTGTTCTGGAGTGACATGTGAAGGATTGATGATTCCCTGTTACATCACTGGTGTCACAGGGAAGAATCTTGTCATGAGAGGGGCAATTCAGGACATAGGCTCACTCAACAAGATCAGTGTCTGTATGACATTAAGTCTTAGTGCTGATCCAAGTAAGTAATAACATATTCTTTCAAAATTCTAATTGTAGTCACTGAAGCCTGCAATAAAGACTACAGTCATGGTAACTAGACTTTAAAGGTATTTAAAGTATTCAAACATGAATAGTTTTAAAAACCTGAAAGCTTTTTATTAACCCTCTGAAGTCACAGATTATGCCGCGTAATCAATACACGTGACTGGTTTAAGACATCACAACATAAAAAGCAAGTCATATTGTCATACTGTCAAAAGTGCTGCCTTGAAACTCTACACTAGTTTTTGTTTGGTGTTGACAGACCAAGGAGAAATGGAGATGGGACGATTATATTTGATATAAAAAAAAATTTACACACGCATAAAAGTGCAAAATGGGATGGGGCTGGCACCATCGCCACAGGACCTGTCTACACTGCCACCAAGTGGACAAAAAAGGAACCTCATACCATGGAAATCAGATCCTATAATGTATCATTGATGACAGAAACTGTTTTGAAGAGTTGCACAGCTAAAAGGAAAAACACCTATGGCCACACCTAGTTTTTGTTGTAAGTAGTTGTATATAGATTTTTTTTTCTTTTTTTGCCATTATATGTTTACATTGCAACCTATCAATCTTTAAAATGCTTCGTTGAGTATGCTTATGTTTTTAATAATAGTTTTCAGAGTGTCATTTCAAAATAATTTTTGAAATTGAAAAAATTATTGTCAGGTCATACAGGCGATGTACTAAAAAAAGATACCAAACATTGGTATGGTAAACATTTTTAATGTGGTATATTAAGGTAAAATCACAAGTATTCAAAGATGACCAAAATAACCCAAGACTTCTAAGGGTTAAATAAAGTTACATAGATACAAATTAGCTATGTGTTATAATAATATTTCATGCAGAGATCACCAGATGAAAGTACTGTCATTTAGAAATACTTGAAACTTCACAATCCTATCCATCCAAAAATTCCTTGGTTCTACAGCAGTAAATGAATGGATTGATGAGAGCAGGAAACAGACTGTACATCATTGCTGACATAATGTGGATATTGGTTCCAACATCAAAGCCAACAATATGTGCCAAAAACACAAAACATTTGGGCCGATAGCACCGACAAATGATAAACAGTTAAAGAGGACACACTGTGTATTTTGTTTTGTATCAACCAGATTTTGAGATTTTCATACTGAAATAATAATTGATACCTAAGAAAATGTAATAAAAAATAAAGCACCCCAGAGCACCGACACAGCAACGGCAATAGAAGTGGCTTGTATGGTTGTCATGTCTGCACAAGCCAGTTTAGGTAGTGAAATGTAGTCACAGTAGCACTGAGCTATGAAGTTTGGGTGACAGTAAGGGCCTCTGCAGTAAGTGCACCAAGTTGGAGAAGGTTTGTGGGCGTTATGTTGTCAGAAGAAAACCTTGTATCTCCATTTTTCAGTTTTTGACATAATTTGAAAATGCCTGTTGTTCTTCACATTGTGTGTAAATTTCATGAAGAATGGACCCAAAGAAACGGCCCAGAATGACTTGGGGGGGGGGTCTGGTTCCATTGACTTACATTAAAAGTAAAGTAGTTTTTTTTCCTTCTCCTGTAAAGTTACCATTTTGGAGATACAAGATTTTCTTCCGACAACAGCGATATGGTGCATGAGTGATGATACAAATTAGTGATTCTCTTTCAAAATTCATATTATGGTCACTGAAGCTCCAGTAAAGACTATATTCATAGTATCTAGAGGCTGATATCTGAAGCATTCAAACATGAATAGTATTAAAAGGATGTTGTAAACCTAAAAGCTCTTATAAAATAAAATGTATTTTACATCACAGACATATAGAGTAGCTGTGTGGTCTAATAGTTCATGCCAGGTCACCAGATGAAAGCACTGCTGTTTACTATCATTTATACTTGAAACATTACAATCCTCTGAAAAAAGAAGGAAAAAAAGTACTTTAGTGCTTTAGTACTTAGTGATGGCAGAAAACAGCAATTACTAAAGTATTCATTTTTTAAAATAAAAAAACAGTTTATATTTTAATATTTAATATGAATGTATATGTATGTTTCATAGGGATATGTTTCCTTGATGTTCAGCTCACATTATTGATGTTAAGATCATATTAGCTCTAAATGTACACACACCTCTACAATTTAAAGTACTCTTTATTGTAATGAATCAATTAATCAAGTATTCTTTCTTATGTACTTTAAGTTAAAGTAAGTTTTCCATCCACTTCCGCTTGTCTTTGCTTTAATTTCTTCATTAGCACTTCTTTAAATTCTCTGGTTTTAAAGCAGTATATGAATGGATTGATAAGAGCAGGAAACAGACTGTACATCATTGTTAACATAATGTGGATATCGATTCCCAAATCAAAGCTCAAAGTATGTGCCATATACACAAAAGTTCTGGGGAGATAGTACAGGCAGATGATAAACAGTTGAGGAGTGCACGTTGAAAAGGTTTTGTATTGGCCCTCCTTACTTAAGATTTTCATGACTGAAATAATGATTGATATGTAAGAAAATATGATAAAAAATAAGAGACCCCAGAGCACCGACATAGCAACGGCAATAGAAGTGGCCTTTATGGTTGTTATGTCTGCACAAGCTAGTTTAGTTAGTGAAATGTAGTCACAGTAGCACTGAGCTATGATGTTTGGACCACAGTAAATCACACTAAGGGCCTGTGCAGTCAGTGCACCAAATGAGATAAGGTTTGCAATCCAAACCACAGAACAAAAAATTGCAATAGTGGAGTTCTTAATCAGTGCTGGGTATCTGAGGGGGTTGCATATGGCAACAAAACGATCAAGGGCCATTAATGCCATAAAAAAAGAGCCGCTAGAAGCGAAGAAATGGACAAAGTACATTTGAGTAAAACAAGCATTAAATGATATGATTTTGTCTGACATCCAGTACCTAGAAATGATTCTTGGAACAGTTGTAGTCCCAAATCCAAGATCTGCTATGGCAAGATTACAGAAGATGATGTAAGTTGGCTTTTGAAGACTTTTCTCACAGGCCACGAACACAATGATGAAAATGTTCCCAGATGCCAAAACCAGGTAGATGAAGAAGAAAACGACTGCTAGCAGTCCGTAATACTGAGGAGGGAGTCCTGGGAAGCCTAGGAGGACAAACTCAGGGATGTTGGCTGTGCTGTTTGTATATGTTTCAGTACTGCCAGACACCATCTGACAACCAATAAATAACATCATTTTTTACAATACATGCTATAAAAACCTTCATAAACGTTTGGTTTAAAACAAATTCTGCCTTAAGTGAGAATCTGAGAAGAAACATACTTTGTGAAAATTCTGATGTGTCCTCTTGCTGTTCTTGTATCCACAAGCCAGAGGTTGTAGACTAAGCTTGGATGGGGCTTTTATAAAACAGTTGAGACCTCAACAATTGTTTGATGTAATGAATAACACTCACAATGGAGCAAGGCCTTAGAGACATCAGATGATACATGAAATTCTTACATCACTGGACTATAGTGCTGTTTGGCAGATAATGTTTCTGCAAATTTGCATTGTTTTTATTGCTGAAATTGCCAGAAGGGACTGCCTGGGACATCAAATCATCCTAAACATATGATATATACGTATAATATATATACATAGTATATGCCCCAAAATACAAAACCAGTGCTGATCTCTGTTTGAATAATATTACTAAGGTTGCATTTCATCCCTTAAAGGAGCAGAGTCTATTAGCCAAAATGGAATATAGTACACAAAATAGTTTTCATTAGCATATAATTACCTGTAACTATGAATTGCATTTTCATTAGCTTAAAATGAGCCTCAAATCTACGAGTCCTTTTCTAGCAGAGGCTACCATGCATGTTGCTACAGTATCCCAGAATGGACAAACCAAACATTGGCTCTAGATAGCACCTTTTGTGTTTTGTGTTTTTACACTGAAGTGGCAGCTTGAAATGGCACTTCAGCACCAGCTGGAAGACATAAAAAGAAGAATTCTTGTTGAAAATGTCAATTATTGGTAGTTATTGGTAGCTCCATACGTAAAAGTCCAGGCAGGATCGCTCAAATCTCCTTATCACAAATACTACAAGCATTAAAACTATAATGCTGCTTCTTATTCGCCAGCTTCTTGTTCAGATTTTCCCATCCCACCTCAAATGGTGCAGCAGCTACATTCTGGCACTGACATTCAGCTACTTATGTGCTGGCTTCTTGTTCGAATTGTCCCATTCCACCTTAAATAAACGTAACTTAAATAAATGCCCTGATGAATTTGGCCAATCATGTGTAACAGACAATCAGCTGAGCCGTCAGCTGATTGAAATCAGCTGATTACAGCTGGTGATTTGAGATTGAGGCCTGAGCTTGATTTTGTGGCCTGCCTGAACTAACGATAATGCTCAATTTCAGCCAGGATCACTTCTTCAAAGAAAATATTTTGTTTCCATTTGCAGTGAGTTATATTTGGCGGTATGTTCTGGGACCTCCCTGCTCTCAGGAAGGGCACTGGGGGCCGGAGAAATATTTGCAGCAGCCATTTCATTCATTTTCTCTTCAAACAAACACAACAATGAACCCAAACCAAAGCTAAGCTGGCCATTTTTTGGTGGTTTCAAAGGGGGCTCATACTGCCAGCCAGATCACAATCAGCTGGCTCTCATTAAGGGCAGCGTGAGCACCTGAGCCAAGATGAGAGCTCATTGTTCCGCCTCTCTGCCACTCAAAATTAGGTGGCTGGTATCAATGCGACTTAAAAATAGAATTTAAATAATTATGTTCCCGACCTAAAGGCACTGAAGATGTGTCCTTGAGGGAACCATTCCAGTGACATGGAGGTGACCACCCAGTGACATTTTTTATGAGAATGTGATGGTAGTCGGTCACATGGGATCTTACAAGAACTGCATTGACTAGCTGTGCTTTTAGGATACTTTTTAACATTCTTTTATGTTTTTATGTTCAGACGTGATTTTAGAGTCACAAAAACTAGCCTTCTGCAAATACCCTGTTCAAATTACAGAGAAGGCCCTTCCTGTGACTCTTATTTTTCTTTGTTGTCTTGTGGAACTGTGTGATCAGTGGTGCCAAATGCTACTGAGTTCAAATAAGACAAGCAAAGATATAAAACCTGCTCAGAATTGAGAAAATCTTCCCTCGTTATCTTCAGTAATGCTGCCTCTATACTATAATGAGAAAAGATTTTTATGACTCTTATGCAGATATGAGCTACGTGCTACAGTTAGGCTGTAAGTTATAATGGTGAACTATAAGTGAAATGTTCATTTATTTTGTTGAACAGAGGTTAATTTAAGAATTTTTGATGAATCAAGTCTGGGAGAAAAATGTATTATTGTTAACAGAGGTCTGATTATTTCTGGTAGCATATCTGGTAATAAACTCATAGGAATTGGATTTAGTATACAAGTAGAGGATATGAAGAAGAAATAAGTGCTTATGTTTAGAATTATTGCTAGATTATTGCTTATTTATATATTAGTGCTCAAAAAAATGCTATATCTAATAATACAGGTTGTATTCAATCTAGTTGTACTTGTCATATTCAGTAATGTTTACATTTATCCATCCTCCAATGTGCCTGGTCACCACAAATTTCATAGGGTACTTCCTTGAATGGCTGCAACATCATCTTGAAATCTTGATGTCTTATCTACACATGGGCTATCCAGTGTGTTACTCATTTCACTAGTTCCTGCTTATCTCCTCTTGCCTGTGGAAGCTCACTTTCTTTCCTCAATGTCACTACACACTGTTGTCTGTTCACTTGGTAATAGGCTGCTGAAGCTGTAAGTATCAAATACATGATAATAGACATTCTGTGGAATGTCTGTTAAATACATTTATAAAAGTTACTGAGGGTGGACATGTAAATGGCGCACAAAAGGCCATGAACATGAATACTGTATGTCTGATAGTTGTCTGAATTAATCCAAGTCCCACATATATTGGGAAAAAATGGCCAAAGTGTATATTGTGTTCATTAAATACGACATGTCAAGCATTATAGCACAGTACACACACCGAGTGACTGCTACTGCTCAGGGCTCCATGGCCACCAGGGAACTTCAAAACAACTGCTGGGTAATTACTGTGCCATTATGTTGTCTAAGGTGAGTGAGAGGAGAAAGTGATTTGTATTTGTCCTAAAAGAAAGTACATAATTCCACATCTGGAACAGAAAAGCAGAAAAGAAAAATATATTAGAGATGGGAGATTAAGTAGTTCAACCACAAGGCTATGTGTTAGGAACTCTTTTATTCACATTATATATGCTACCACCGGGTAGTGTTATCAGTAAACATGCCATCAATTTCATGCTACACTGATTGCATATATTGGCCAAACCAGATGATACATTTCAAATGAGTAAGACTGAGGACTGTGTAAAAAAGTAACTGCCTAACACTTAAAAAAGAGGTTCTTCTTCTTCTTGGCCTAAACACTGCTAGAGAAAAATTACTAATTTAATGCTAAATCTTAATAACTTCTTAGTTACATATGCGAAAAACTTTTTATCCCAGTCTGTCGTTTGGTACATATAAGTAATATTTAAGAAGGCACTGTCTCTACCAGATGTGGAAAAGCTAGTTCACACCTTTATTACCTTGAGGTTGGATTACTGTAATGACCTCCTCTCTGGATATTCCAGCAAAAATTCTGACAATTGCCCAGTTTTATCAAACCACATTGGTTGCCAGTGAAATTCCAGATTGAGTACAAAATTCTGCTATGGACACTATATTGCCAAAAGTATTCACTCACCCATCTTAATCATTGAATTTGATGTTCCAATCACTTCCATGGCCACAGGTGTATAAAACAAGCACCTAGGCATGCAGACTGCTTCTACAAACATCTGTGAAAGAATGGGTCGCTCTCAGGAGCTCAGTGAATTCCAGCGATAGGATGCCACCTGTGCAACAAGTCCAGTCGTGCAAGTTCCTCGTTACTAAATGTTCCACAGTCAACTGTCAGTGGTATAATAACAAAGTGGAAACGATTGGGAACGACAGCAACTCAGCTACAAAGTGGTCGGCCATGTAAAATGACAGAGCGGGGTCAGCAGATGCTGAGGCGCATAGTGCGCGGAGATCGCCAACTATCTGCAGAGTCAATCACTACAGACCTCCAAACTTCATGTGGCCTTCAGATTAGCAGCTGCGTCCAAGCCTTACATCACCAAGCGCAATGCAAAGCGTTGAATGCAGTGGTGGAAAGCGCCGCCGGTACTTGTCTGACTGCATTGTGTCAAGTGTAAAGTTTGGTGGAGGGGGGGATTATGGTGTGGGGTTGTTTTTCAGGAGTTGGGCTCGGCCCCTTAGTTCCAGTGAAAGGAACTCTTAATGCTTCAGCAGACCAAGAGATTTTGGACAATTTCATTCTCCCAACTTTGTGGGAACAGTTTGGGGATGGCCCCTTCCTGTTCCATCATGATTGCGCACCAGTGCACAAAGCAAGGTCCATAAAGACATGGATGAGCGAGTTTGGTTTGGAAGAACTTGACTGGCCTGCACAGAGTCCTGACCTCAACCTGATACAACACCTTTGGGATGAATTAGAGCGGAGACTGTGAGCCAGGCCTTCTCATCCAACATCAGTGTCTGACCTCACAAATGCGCTTCTGGAAGAATGGTCAAAAATTCCCATAAACACACCCCTAACCCTTGTGGAAAGCCTTCCTAGAAGAGTTGAATTAGTTATAGCTGCAAAGGGTGAGCTGACATCATATTAAACCCTATGGATTAAGAATGGGATGTCACTCAAGTTCATATGCGTGTGAAGGCAGATGAGCAAATACTTTTGGCAATATAGTGTATAAATGCCTAAATGGCCTTGCCCCTCAGTACTTGAGTAAACATATGTCTTATTATGAACTGTCATGTGTATTTAGGTCACAAGGTGCTGGCTCATTATAGATTGATGCTCATTTTATACCCACTCATGTTACTGACCAGTTGCCAATTAACCACCAGGTTTTTTTTTTAGATGATGTCTTTCAAGCATTTTCAATGAAATGTAGGGTTTAAATGATTTGCACATCATTGCATTTTGTTTACATTTGTCAGAGCGGCACAATTTTTTTGGAAATGGGGTTGTACAATAGATACACAAGATAATAAATAAACAGAACAAGAAATACATGTGACAATAAATACTAGACAGGATATCAAACCAATGTTTATTCA